GGAAAGAGAAAAGCCCCTCAACGTGATTCGTCCCACCCCACGAGGTTCCCAGCCAGCTGGGGTTGTGGGCGGATGCACCGCAGCCTCCCGGGGTCCAGCTTCACCGGAGCAGCACCTTCCACTGTGCACAAGCCCCCTGGAGCCCAGCTCCCTGCACCTTCGTGCAGAGCTCCAAGATGCCACATCTGTGGCCAGCACAGCGTGCCGCTCCAAGCTGCTCCAAGTTTCAGGCCAGTAAGCAGCGGACACAGCCTAGCCCCAGCCCGGCAGCGCAGGAACGCCCGGAGCCGCGCTTCCTGGGCAGTGTGGCCGTGCCAGGTGTGGACTTTGGCCTGCAAGCCCCAGAGATAAGGACTGGCGGGTGGAGACGAAGCCCCGCTAGGAGGTCAGGGCAGCTGCCCTCGCTCCAGCCTTCATCAGGGAAATGGCATGTTTATGGCTCTTTGTAAAAGGCTAAACTCAGAGTTTAGGGCTGAACTCGATGCTCCCTGCCTGCTGCTCCCCATGTAGACAGGGCAGACTGCTTCTGTACTGAGTGCCCAGCCTCACTGTACATGTCCTGGCGGGACTCTACAAACGGCGCCAGCAACAGCGATGGCACCATTAGTGCGGCACAGCGCCATGTGCTAGGAGCTCACCCAGCCCTTTTGAACTCATTTTAATCCCCAACAACCCTAGGACAAGGGTCCTGCTACCTTCCTTATCTTGGAGGATGTGGATGAAGAAACTGAGGCACAGAGAGGTTAAGTAACTCGCCAAAGGTCACACAGCATTTGCCCACCCAGGAGAGACTTGACCCATGCACTCTGGTGCCAGTCTTTCCTCGTAACTAGTACACACCCTGGCTTTACTGCCCGTCCACTTGTGGGCAAGGTCACACAGGTGTGCCCTTCCGCTCTTTGTAGGAGGGCAACCAAAGCCCAACACCTGCCTGGGCCCGGCACATGTGGCCTCGGTGGCAAACCTGGGGGTTTCTCACCAGGTCTGATGGTGACTCGTCTTCAAAGGGCCGTCACGGCAGCCATGCTTCATCGCTCCTGGAGGTGACGGGGTGAGGAGACCCCTCTGTGGGGACCTTTTCTCACCCACCGGGCGCGGATGGCTCCGAGAAGGCCGCGCTGTCTTTGTGACAGAGCGCTAGCCCGCTCTTCCCGCTGCCGCCTGAGGACTGGTGCAGGTACTGGATGCTCCCAGGGATGGCTCGGCCCTGGCTGTCGTGGGAGGCGTAACTGTGCTCTCTCCTCCCCAGAGTCTCTCCCAGCGGCGCTCTGCCTTCTAGGCCTCCCCTGTGGGTCCTTCCCAGCCCTGCATTTCCTCAGTTACTCGGTCACCCCTACAGAACTGCGCGCTGCGCTCCCGGAGGACAGGACAGGGCCTTGTTCGCGACAGGATCTGTGTGCGGTCCCGCGGGTTGTAACGCGGGGCAGGCCTCTCCGTGCTGTCCACATCGCTTGCTCTCGACCTTCATGCATCCTTGCTGGAAAGCACCTGTGCAAAGGGTGTGGCTGAGGAGCCCGGGGCACCAGCCCTGCCCGCACCCATGGGGACGGTGCCCGCCTGCCCGCCTGTACTCTGTCTAGAGTTCTCTTCCTTTGTTTCTAGAAAATAATCTATAAAACTGAGTCATGCCAATCACAGAGGTTGAAGGAGTGTTATTAGTTAGACCAGAGTCGAGGAGCCCGAGTGCCCGCTCTGCATCTGTTCCTGGAGGAGGGTAAGAATGGCACCGAGGCGGGGCACTAAGAGTGAGTAACATGAGGAACACGGGTGGTCTAAGCATGCGTTTGGTAACCACTGGCAGTTCAGTGCATCTCAAACCCAAGGGCCTCTCAATGAAGTGCCAGTGTACTTGCTGTTAAAGAAAAACTGTGAGAGAGAGAGAGAAAGCACCCCCCATTGTCCACACACAGTTTCTTCTCCTCCATTCTCTTCTGGGGATCTTGAGCACACACAAATACACACACACTCAGCATGTTTTCCAAGCCACCAGGTTCAAGATTCAAATGGCACAGCCAGCCATATGGGGCCCAGCTACCTTAACTCTCTGCCCTGATTTCTTTTTTTAAATTGCCAGAGAGCAGGTAAACTGGCCAGGAGGAGCCTGAGAGGGAGAGTGAGAAAGCACCCCCTGTGAGGTGTGATCACCCACAACCCCTTTGCCATCCCTTCTCCATCCTTTCAGGACTTTGGGTATGCATACACACATGCCTGGCATGTTTTTAAGTTGCCAGAGCCAGGATTCAAACCTGTGGTCAGCGCTACCAGTGGTTATAGATCAAACTCCCATAACCACTAGACCATGAGGCCAGCTCTCATGGTACTTGTTAGACATGGTAAGGAAGGCTTTATTCCAGATCATTGCAGTCGGCGTAGGGGCCACCGTGCCTGAGTCTCCCAGTGGGAGGGAGGTTGGCTCAGCTCTGAGTGTAACGTGGGCAGGTTGTAATCCGGGGGCAGCCCAGGCTGAGAAAAGTACTGCAAGGAGACATCTGGGGTAGAATGGGTTCTGGTTAACCCAGCATGAGAGGATTCTTGCTGAAGACAGGCCAGGGTCATCAGTCATCCATCCCTGGGGGTAGCAGAGATGAAGGAACTGGGTCAGATTCCGGGGCTGAGCAAATACCGACAGTGGCAGTTCTGGCTAACCCAACAGGCAGGATTCTTTTTTTTTTTCTTCAGATTTTTGCCATAAGACATGTGCACTCACCAGAGAGAGCCAGAGGGAGGGAAACTGTGAAATCACCCCCCAGGGGAATGGCCACATGGCAGTCCCTTCTCATTCTCGTCCCGGGATTTTGTGCATACATGCGCACACGCCTAGCGTGACTTTTAAGCCACCAGGTCTGGGATTCAAACTGCAGTCGACCACATCAGAATCCAGCACCTTAACCACCATGCCACCTGCTGGACCCTTAGCAGGATTCTTTTGCCAAAACTGGATTTTCCAAGGAAGTGCACAGATGGGACCAGCCTGATTAAAGTTGGCCCAAAGAATCTTTGTCAGATGTTTGGTAGAGGTTTCTTCCTCTTGAGAAAGTGTGTTTAGGGAAAATGGCCCCTACTGGGATTTCCCCATGCAGTACTGGTATGCACATCACACCGATCTGTGTGACTGGCATCCCCAAAGTCAGGTGGTTACAGCCCACACGGCCCATGGTGTCAGCCCTCTCTGTCCATGCCCCACACCGACACAGCCTTTGACGCCAAGTCTCAAAGGATCTGTTCTTTCTGGGGCCACTCTAGGATGTTTGTGGCAACAGCAAAGCGCCTGCCCCGCTGCCCAGCCCCAGGTGCTTGTTCTCACAGGGACAGGCTACCCCTCAGGCAAGCTGCCTCCAAGCACAGGCAGGCCTGACTGCAGGGAGTTCTCTGGGAAGAAGACGTCACAGTGGTAAGGCTCTCTGTCACCATCCCTTTGCTGTTCTTCTGGGGAGGGTGTTTATTTTCTGCACATCGGGCTCTGAATTGTAGCGGGATAGCAGAGGTGCATTACAAGTAGGCTACTACGCCCGTCCCTAATCCCTCAGGACAAAAGGTGGCTTTAGGCAGCATGAATGAGGGGATGAGTTCATAGTTCTCCTGACAGCCAGAGTCCTAGGGACCAGAAAGAACAGAGGTGGAAAAACAGGAATCACAGTTGCCATCACAGACCAGGAAGTTCATGTGTACACAGCCTGCAGTTGAAGCCACCGTGTTATTACAGCCTATGAAATCAACACAGATGAGGGGCAGCTCTTCCTCCCTCCCCTGTGGCCTTGAAGAGACTCCATCCCCTCTAACTTCTCCTTAAGGGCATTTGTCACTGTGATTTTCACACACTGTTCCTTCTTCCAGGAAAACTCCATTTTCCATACCTAAGCAAGCCTTCTGTGGGGTTCAAGGAGCGTCTGATGGATCTCCCCAGTGTTTTGTAACCTGGGACCTGATTGTTCAGTGTCTGTTGTCTTTTGTCTTTGAATTGTTAAGACAGTGCATACCCAGAGTAAAAATAATCCAAACAAGATTTTTAAAAGTACAAAGAAAGTAAGAATCATCTGAAATCCCACCACTTAACATTTTGGTGAGCGTCCTTCCATAAATGCACAGAATATGTCGAAGTCACTGTATATGATTGTGCTGTCCTGTAACCTGCTTTATGCACACACAGTGTGTCATGGAGGCCTCTCAAGTCTTCAGCCAGATGCTGGTATTACCCACTACCTAAACCTGGTTACATAGTTACATGATTACACGTCTTTGCAGCGGAAAAGCACCGGTAGGCCAGCTGCATGACACAGGCAGCAGTGTGTTGGCCTGCAGTGCTGGAAGCCACACGGTTGACCGTGGGCGTGGATCCCAAAACACACCAGTTAAAATACACCAGTTATGCCCACACCCAAAATCCTGCTCGCTGGAAGGTTGGGGAGAAGAGGATCACAGAGTGACGAGACTCTAACAAGTATGCACTCTCTCTCTCTCTTGTGAAAGAAGAACGATAAACTTAAAAAAAAAAAAAATGGCCCTGAAGCCAGAAGAACTCTGAGGCATCCATCACCCCTCTTTGTATATTTAATTCTAATCATCGCTCATATTTGTGTAGTACCTTAGAACTTAAGAAGCATTTTCCTGTTACTTCATTTGATTATTAAAAAGTGAGATGATCAAAAATGAAATGCGTAATAATCATTGCACTGACAGCGGTAATATAGTCACAGCTCCATTTGTGGGTGAGTTAGTGTGTGCCAGGCTCTGTGCTGGGCCCAGTGCATGCACTGTCTCTTCTAATCCTAAGTATCCTCTCATAAAGACAATGCAACTGGGCCAGCCAGTGATGTGGTTGTTAAGGTCCTGGACCCAGTAGTTTCAAAAACACACCAGGCACATGTGCATCTATGCCCAAAATCCTCAGAGGAGAAATGAAAGGACTGCAGTGTGACCATTCCCCACAAAAGAGTGCTTCCCCACTTCCCCTCTCTCTCTCTCTGTTTCTCTGGAGAATACATGCACTCTCTAGAAAATTAAAATAAATGTTTTAAAGATAATATAACAGACGCTTAGAGAAGTTAAGTAATTGAATCAAATTTCACAGTGAATCCAGGTGGAATTCTAATCCAGATGCGTCTGACTTTAAAATTCCCTATTATCGGGCCAGCAGATGGCATCGTGGTTACGGCACTGGATATCATATGACCAACCCCATAGTTAAGTTCCAGACCTGGCAGCTTGAAAAATACATCGAGCACATGTGTATGTGCCCAGAATCCTGAGAGAAGAATAGAGAAGGGATTGCAACGTGGTCATCCCCCCTGGAGGGTGATTTCTCATTTCCCCTCTCTCTTTCTCTCTTCCTATCTCTCTCTGACAAGCAAATGCACCCAATGGGCCAAAAAATAATAAATCCTTATTATCAAGCACCATATACACTGGCTAATTGTTGATTATTACAATCTTCGTGGGGTACTTTACCAAACACTCTAACATACATTGTCAGCTCAATTATACAGGTAGAGAGATGAAGGCTAGAGAGTTCATCTGATGTCTCAGAGCCAGGGTTCTGACCATGACCAGCTCCTTTATTTTTTTGTTAAAGAATTATTTAATTTTAGGACCAACAATTGGCATAATGGCTATGTCACTGAACTCCCATGTAGTCAACCGCAGTTCGAGTCCCGGACCTGGTGGCTTAAACTCAGGCCAGGCGCGTGTGTGTGTGCGTGCCCAAGATCCCGAGAGGAGAATGGAGAAGGGACTGCAGTATGGCCATCCCCCCTAGAGGGTGATTTCTCGCTTTCTGTCTCTCTGTCTCTGTCTCTCTCTGTCTTTCTGGCAAGCGCATGTGCCCTATAGCAAAAACCTATCCAAAAAAAGATTATTTAATTTTATTTATTATTATTATTTCAATTTTGCCATCGGGCACATGCACTCACCAGAGCAAGAGAGAGAGAAAGAAAGCTGCCAAATCCAGGACTCAAACCATGGTTGCCCATGTGGAAGTCCAGTGCCCTAACCACCATGCCATCTGATGACCCAATTCTGACCATTTTCACTCAACATTTGCTGCTGTTTCCACTACACTCTACCAATCTCATCCTCTAACTAAAGGTGCTGGGGTTCGAAACTCTTCTGAGTCATCGGAAAAAGGAGTTTGTATTATGATCTTTCAAGGTCCCTTCCTGC